CCTACTGGCTTCTTTAAATGCCAAAGGAAAACTTTTGGGGCTTTCGTGATATTTCCGACTCCAAAAACCTGTCCAAATCCGACCGTTTTCGCTCGACACATGCACGGCACAAACTCTTCGCCGCCTCCTACTATTCAAATACGCTCGTCTAGATTTTTCGGGCCCAATAATGGGCGAGCATGGTCCTCCCAGACGCACGTATGACTGGCTTATACGTGGTTTGGGCACAAGACTTGTTGATCGTGACGTTTAGGAGTGCTACCAACGACTGTTTTCTGTTCAATACACATTCACGAACATGGATATTTCATAGAGATAATTAACTGACAGATGAACTCATTACATGTATTAATTTACACAAGATGGGCTTTAGATAGATGTGTCGGCAGTACATGAACTCATTCTTTTTCAATCTCGAAACCCTTGCAGATTCGCATTAATCCCCAATCATACTCGGACCCTTCCAGGAGTTCACAATCACCGCTACCCTGGAGCTGGCCTGGTCGGACCTGCGTCTGCAGAGCCTTCTCCCGGCTGACTCGCAGACTATCTACTCCATCCGCGGGAACGACATCGACCGGATCTGGCTGCCCGACCTGTACTTCCCGCTGCTCAAGGCGGGAGATTTCCACAAGATCACCTCGGTAAACAGGGTGGTGAGGATCGCCAGAGACCTGTTACCCGGTGTGTTTTACAGCATAAGGTGAGAGCTGTTGCTCTAAATCTCCTGTTCCCTGTGAGGGTTGTGGCAGTTCTACCCTTAAATCCCACTGAGCAAGGTCTTCCAAGTGTGTGAATCTTCTTTGATTAGGATGTGCCCCTGAAAGGGAGAAAATCACATCAGGGATACGATCCTAATGTGGATGAGTTGTGTGACCTGTCTGAGTAAATGTGACCACTGCGGCGAGCCCCTCTCTGAGATGTAAGGGGTCATTGAGCCCCCTCGGTGTGATTCCTACTCGAGAAGTTGAGAGTAGCATTCCCAACTCAAACCCTCATGGTAGAGTGTGATGTTAGCTCTTTCACTTAATTTGGCGAAACTCTCTGAAGTGTTTGAACAGACTGACCGTAATGAGTGCGTGTAACCGTATCTGCATGCCTTCCTGAAACGCATGGGTGTCAATCGTTTTTCAAAAGTTGGGGGGACAAACTTTTGACTAGAACTAAAAGTAAGTGCGAAACCCTGACAGCGTAGGATAAGGGGTCCGTTTAAAGGCCTGGGAAATTCAGATTCTAGATGTTCTGTAATGCGATCTGAGGCAATGTCTGACCACTTTAATTTTTAGCAAATGCCTTTGCAGAGTTGTTTCATTATCCAAGTAAGTTTCATCTTAAATATGACTTAAAAGTAGGCCTACAGTTTTATCTAGGGTCCGAAAAAGTCATGACACAAGCTATTTGACTGACCTATGACAAAGAAATTTCGTCTCTACCACTGGTCACCTCTTACTTTTGAGCTATCTTGTGACAAGACGTGGACTCGATTACAAAACGGATAAAGCCCCTCCTGTTAAGGTTGCCTTCCTAATTGTGCGTGTGTTTTCCGTACTAGTATGATTAGTAGGTGTGAGTCTCTTGGTCCCTCTGAGGGTTGTGTTGTGAGCATGTGACGTGCCGTCAGGTGGGTGTTCCCAATTCTCAGGGGGTATGAGCCCCTCTGATGAGTACTTTCCCCCTTCTGGGGGTCCTTTGTCCTATCTGATGAGTGTGTGAGCCGCCTCCCACTTCGAAGTCAGTTTTCGTGTCAGGACGTATCTGAATCAGTCACTTTGTGGATGAGACTTCGTTGGTTTCCATTATTGCGCCACAGTGGATATGTAGCCGCAGCCGTAGACAAGAATGTAGACAAGAATGCCCATTTTGGACGAGTTCTGACATCAGAGATACTGGCTCAGACAGATTTGTGTTTCAAGATATATGGCTTCAGCTGAGAGCATTCAATGAGGTGTCGAGCTATTATTTCCTATTTTCATGGCAGGTTGACCCTGACCCAGTCATGCATCATGGATCTCTCCTCTTTCCCTTTCGACTCACAGAAGTGTGACACCCTGATTTCAACTTGTAGGTTGGATTCCTTCGATCTTTCTTCTATTTCTGTATTTCAGATTTGGTTATTTCGTTGATCTAGTTAAAATAGATACACGTATAACATAAATACACCCTGGTTCTCCCAACTCCCATTTTCCATGCCTTTCGAGTTTAAAAAAAAATCTAATTATTACCCATAGTACGCTGCGAGTTAAATCCAGGGGCTTCCTTGACAGGAAAGCAGAATGAAAAATTCTAAGTTGTCGGTCAATTTGGCAAAATGTCAGCGTCTTTTAGAAAGAATATGCCCCAACGTGTAGGCCTGTAGCTTGTGGTTTTATCAACACCTGTCAACATAATGAGCTTAATTTCCATTTAAAAACGTGTAAAAACTAGACGCCAGATTCTTTTTCAGGTAATGTATGCCTATTGATCACTTGCGTGCTCGGTCCATGGACCATTTCAGTTAATTGGGCGTTCTCAGCGATTCTTTTTGGGGCCTCACTACCTCTTGGAATTCTTCCATACCCCTTGGCCCACACCCCTACTGATGCTCCAGTTTTTGCTTGTCAGTTTCTTACTCTTCGACTGAGCTGCGCTTGTACTGGCTAGACGCACCGCCCGACTGGAGCATTCGACTCGGATTGGTCAAACTCAGTCAGCCTCGGTTCAGCCGGGCCAGGTCGAAAGCCTCCGAGGCCACTGTGTGGAAAACGTATCAAACAAGGGATTCTGAGCAATTCAACTTCAGTATGTATTTCCATTTTCACTTTCGACTGATGTAATCTGTATACTTAAACCAAAGAGCGCTATTTTGCATTGTGATACAGTAAACAACAGTAAACAAACGAACCCCCCGCGATGCATTGTCACAGTCGCGGTTTCGGATTCGCAAAGCTCTGCTGAATCATACTATGAGCGTTTCAGAAACGAGTGGATTTGGCTTATTAGACTTCAGTTTCGCAATTCGCTGGCTCCAGTCAGAGCTTAAACGTGTGGTTTCGAACGTTGCTTCAAAATGGCTGGAACCATCGAAACCAAAGTCTAAACCGAATCCACTCAATTCGAAAACGCTCTGAGCACGCACCTATGGGCCCTGAGCCGGACCAAGGCACAATTTCTTCTTGAGAAACAGAGGCTCCTTTGGAACTGCACTTCGCTGGTTCACAAACGACTTTGAAATGCATGCGTTACGGGCGCGTTGCTATACCAGCAAAATGAACACTCCCGACCATCATGGCTCTTTTCAACCGATGAGGGAGTGCTTCTTCTCAAGGCCGATAAGCTGCACTCCTCAGCCATTTCCCCATCATTTCAATGCACTGTAGTTCTTTGTTCCTAAAGCTCCGCAACCAAACTACTGAGCTTATTTAGGCAGTTTTGTTGTTGCACTTCAGTCATAGTTTTACTATCACAGTCACTATGGTGACCACTATAATAGTGGTTAGCAAACTTCGGCAGGTCGTCAGGACACGGATGAAGAATCACTAGCTAGGCCTAAGTGTTAAAAATCCCATTACAGCATTCAGTGTACAAACAGTGCTTAGAAAACTGTGCCTCCCTCTTCAACACTAAGGGAGCGAATGTGCATTTTTAGACATAGCTGTAGCTATACAAGTGGACTGTACTGCAAATGTGGCCGACAAAATGCAAAGCGGTGGTCAGAAAAGTTTGTAATCAGAACAGAGCTCAACTGATAAAGTGAGTGTTAGAATTTCATTTAGAACAAACTCTTTGGGAGATGGAGACAAAGTTTTCGAATGGGAAATAGAAACAGATTATTTGAAAGTCATCGGAATGGAAGAAGATCGGCAAGTACGTGATATGAACCATAGAACCAGAAAAGGAAGTTTAAGCCCAAAATTTAACCAAACAGACGATGGCAAAGGCTTACTTCCCCAGTTTCCCTTGGCCCACCCCAGGCTTCAATGTCCTGAACCTGTCAATCTGCCTTCAACGGGATGGGGGACATTACGTCCTGAACGAGATGACCATCAGCTTTGTCCTGAGCTGTTTGTCCTGGCTTAACTACTGGCTGGATCCGGAGCAGACACCAGCAAGGATCTCGCTTGGGATTACCACTGTGCTTGCGGCCATCACTCAATCTAGCACTGCCAAGAGAAGGCTGCCAGAACTGTCCTATAATACGGTAGGTTTTAAAAGGCGACGCGAGTTTGGCGATTTAAAAGGCATTCATTGACGTTATCAGAGAAAATTTAGTGGCATTTAATTATTTCAGAATTACATGTAATGCTAAGCGTGAGTGATAAAGTTGATTGAACAGAAGACAGACCAAACGACAGATAACCGAACATCCCAAAGACAAATCCACCAACTGGCTAACTTTTATCTAGCCTACTGACTCAATAAGCCAACCGAACGGATTAATTACTGACCTATCGGCCGGCACTACGACTTGCCAACCGGCCGACCACCGAGAGAAACGACTAACCATTATCGCTGATCGAACAACTGAGCGATCATTTTTATTATTTGACGACTGACCGACCATCCAACGGTCTGATCAATCAACCAATGAACATAAATCAACTAATTCATCGACTCTTATATCAATAACCATTACGCTTCAACTCCTCTTCCAACAAACAATCAAATAAACATGGCAACAAACAGACAGCGACAAACAGATGGACAAAAAAGTCTAAGAACTGCTGTGTTTGAACTATCAGGCTTTAGACATCTGGCTTCTGGTCACTGTTAACATGACCATCATCAGCTTGGCCGAATACGGATTTGTCCACATTCTGGCTGGAAGGGCTAAGAAGCTAGAGGATAATTTGGAATGGTTGTTGGAGGACAAGCAGCAAAGGGCGGCAGCACCACGGCAACACGCCGAGGTACGTAGGAAAGAACACGCTTGTGGAACCAAGTTCCGCCTAGTTACTTTAAGTCTGAAATTTTGAGTGGAGCTAGGGTTGTAACTTGTTCCTAGGACTATATTTTGGATATTTCTTGGGAAGTGGAACAAAGAAATTTGTTGGAAAATTTGGGGGGAAACAGCAAATAATTGTGATGTTTGTGAACACCATTGCCCGTCTTCCCCGTAACTGTACCTGCGTTTCAACGGCAACATTGTGAGCGAGATATGAATTGCTTTTATAATAAGGAAGCTTTTAATGTCTCAAGCCGGCTTGAGACCTTAGCCAGGATACGGGGATAAACGGTGGTTTTGTCACAAGTCAGCTTTTTGTACCCGAAAAGGTTTAAAAGAGAGTGCTCGTGATGAACAGAGATGCACTGAAATGTGTCTTTCCTAGTCTGCCTTAGCGAACAATATAATTAAAAGACTCCTGGTGTGTTTTAAGCAGTTGGCTGATTTATTTTCTCTCGGCTTGTTTCATCGTAGACTTCATTTGTCTTTCATCGGAATGGGCGGACTTCACTCAAAGCATCCAATCCTATGGCATCCACGGACGACGAACACCGACTAAGGAGGGCAGCTCATCGGTACCGGCAGGCAGCCAAACGAGTAGATTGCGCCATGCGGATTACCGTGCCGCTGTTGCTGATTCTTTTTATGGTCACGTATGCCTTTGTGTTCAGTGGGATCGGCAGGAATGATTCTGACGACTGTGAACCATAGCCTGGAACAGGGACTAGGCCTACTTAAAGGGTGCACCACTACAAATAAATTCCCATAAACTGCAATGATAAATCCCCACGCTTTGCAATAATTTTAAAAATACTCACAACTCTCACAGGTGTCCAGGCTGCACAGAAATACGATGATCGACATGCCCCCTTTCATTTTCCTTTCAATTTTCGGGGGGTTGACCAATGAATTTTTGACAAATTTTCACCAGAAGCAGACCACCCCTAAAATGAAGAAAATGTCACTGCCCAGAAAAGTTGCCATTTTGAAAAGCCATCCCTCTGCAAAACGGCCAATAGTGCCATTTTCGGACCCAACTGCATCCAAATTACTCAGAATTTGAAGCCCAGAGTCCGGGCCAGGCGTTCAGTGCCATATTTTTCCAATTCCTCAATTTCATGGCTCTCAGGACTCTCTAATATAGAATATTTTGAGTGTATAACTTTTATTAATGAGCTCGGCGGACATATTTAGGGCCTTTTTGCGAGGGTGCACCCTGTAGGATGAGCTAGGGTGAGGATGAAGTTGGGGGGGGGGTTGGAGAATATGGGCATTCGGTTACATAACTGGTACTCCGAAGAGCCAGTGAAGTTCTGCCCAGTAAACAAAAAGAGATCGTACATTAAAGGATTTTGTGCGTGAATTTCGAACTACTGTTGTACAAGACTCAAAATGTTCCGTAACACGTGTCTTACATTTGCAGTGTAATTTATTATGCATTAATAATCATGTGTTTATCATAAAAAGTAAAGAATTGGAGGAATTAAAGACATCTTCGAAGGACATTTGAATGTTCATATTATGATCTCATTTATGCATTTTGTTCCTTGGGGGAGAGGTGGGGTGGATTTGATTTGGTTTGATTGATGATTTATATATTTAAAAAAAACTAGTCAAAATACTAATACTCCCTTTACACAATAACAATAATTATCAAATTACAAGAATAGTTATTATAATTAAAATCAAATCGCATCACGTAAATTAACATAAAAACATGCACAAAATACAAAATCACATAATATCGATACAACCATTAAATAACCATGTGGGGCACCGCAGTGATTTCTTATATCTTCGTAATCGGTATCGTGGAATATGTTAAAAACAAAAATGCCCAAGATTGCGTCCAGAGATAACTTGATACAGACTAGGCATCAAGTTAATTACAGCAGACCCAAGACCCAAAGTCAACTGTTCACACCCAGAAGCACGTTTCTGTAAAGGGAACTTGTTTGCAAGCTCAGAGCACGTAAGGATGCATGGATAATTTATTATCCGAAGTGCTGGGCTCTGGACCTTCTCAATATTTGAATGAACCATCTTTCTAAACTAATCAGATTAGACACCATAACTGCGGTGGCATTGCACTCTCACACACATTCTTCAGCTTGACGCGCGCGTGCATTTGGCAAATCAAGAGACCTATTGGTCGAAGAGGCATAACGCGCGCGTACCACCTGTTCACGAGCGATGTGTCACCGCAGCCGCAAACGGCTTCTAAGTCTGAGGCAACTTCGATCAAGGACCACTAGTTAATTAGTGTTTAACGTACCTAGCGCACGTGCAGTGAAATTGAAGTGCGAACGACCAGAACGACCAGATGAGGACCAGACAGCTGCTCCAAATTTAGAAATGGGCGAATATAGACCTACATTTTGTAAAATAAACAAATCATGGAAGTAAATAAATTGAAGTATTAAGGGGCAATTTGTTTCACACGGATCCGGCCGGATCTCGATCAGTGATCCTGAAGCTGCAGGCTCGCACTATCCATTACGCGGGCTCTGCTGTCAGTAAATCAACGAGGGATCACAGTTTGCGATTCGGATCCGTGTGGGTTTCATTCATTCGTTTTTCGATTTGAAAACGAATATCAAACCTATCCAAAAGCATTTTTTTTCGTTTTTCGGTATGAAAACAAAAACAAGAAACAAAACACAACTTGTTTTCAGTTTTTCGATTTGAAAGCGAAAAATGAGGGAAAAGATTAAAATTCTTGTTTTTTTCGTTTAAAACGAAAACCTGAAGAAATTTTGATTTAGGTTTGAATTTAATCCCAATTTCGTTTGACTGCACACGTAATAATTTCGAGGAGGCGTCAAGGATGTCTCTGAGCACTTCTCACTTAAGGAAATTTAAGCTGCCTTTGAGAATGCGAGAAATTTCCTTTTGGGTTGCTCCTTCTTTGAAGCAACGAATCCCCCGTACTCCTTTAGTTCAGCTATGTTTAATTTGGTGGGTTAAGGCTTTTTTACATTAAAAAAATGGAACTAGATTGCGTTGTTGTTCGTTTTCATGTTGAAAAACGAAAACGAACGTGATTATCGTTTTCCGTTTTTGAATAAAAGACGAAAACGACTTGTTTCTTTTTTTTAATTTTTTTTATTTTCAAAACAAGAAACGACCCATTTTTCATTTTTCGATTTCAAATAGGAAAATGGAAAACGAATGAACGAAACGTAGGCTACATGGACCCCTTTGACACCAGGCTGAGTTTGGGCGCCTTGAAAGAATTCTCGCACGTTCACGAACAGCTTTATTTGTTACTCGTGGGTCGGCCGGCTCGAACGTCGGGAAGTACAACCGGTTATATCGCTCGTCTTAGTGGCAAGCAGCACCCGCAACATGGCTGTGTCCATTAAATTCTTCGGAAGGTTTTGTTCGGATAACTGGGCTGAATTCTATTCTATTTAAAAAGAAACATTCAGTTATGTGTTATTGAAATTTATTAATGTTAATTTTGCAAGACTTCCCATTGTCTTCGGCTTTGTGAGCCAATATGATCTCGCTGCTTTTTCGGTTGTTCAAAAATAAAAATCCCACAAGTTTTTTCCACGTGTTCATGCAAAACCGTGACGAGGATGTGTTGTGTGATCCTGTTCCGAGAACAATGCTTTTTGGTTGTGTTCCTGCTGTTTGAGCGCGAGAACAAGAAACCCGTGTCAAAAACAGGCGCCCTAACTCGACGTAACAGTTTGGAATCTTCTATTATGACAAAACAATCATTATTGATGATGAGCACATTCTCTATAGGGTCCAGTCCACTAATTCAAGCCCCGTTGAAAACAGTGTAAAATCAGCACCATTCAGGGCCCAATAGCATGCACACCAACATCCCTGAGATTTCTGAAACACAAATG